TAGTAAAGCATCTCCAGCAATGTATTAAAAAGATCATATACCATGATCAAGCGGGATATATTCCTGGGTGCTAGGTTGGTACAATATTCACAAATCAATAAATGTGATACACCACATAAACAAAATGTAGGATAAAAATCACGTGATCCTATCAATAGATTCAGAAAAAGCATCTGGTAAAATCCAGCAACAATTTATGATAAAATCTCTCAGCAGACTGGGAATACAAGGAACATACCTGAACATAATAAAGGCCATATATGACAAACCCTCAGCTAACATCATAATCAATGGGCAAAAACTAAAAGTATTTCCCTTAAAAACAGGAAGAAGACAGGGTTGCCCACTTTCACCACTCTTATTCAACATAGTACTTGCCACAGTGATAAGACAAGAAAGAGAAAAAGGCATCCAAATTGGAAAGGAGGAAGTAAAACTATCATTATTCACAGATGACATGATAGTGCACATAGAAAACCCTAAAGACTCCACCAATACACTGTAGTATCACCTCACACCTGCCCAAATGGCTATCATTAGTAAACAAATTTGGCAAAGTAGCAGGATATAAAATTAACATCTAGAAATTGATAGCATTTTTATACACCAATAATGAACTCTCAGAAAAAGAAACTAAAAAAGTCACATTTACCATTGCAATGAAAAAATAATATATTTAAGAATATACTTAAGGAAGGAGGTAAAAGACCTGTACTTGCAAAACTATAGGGCATTGAAAAAAGAAATAGAAGATGACACAAACAAGTGGAATCATAGCCTATGTTCGTGGATAGAAAGAATTAACATTATTAAAATGTCCATACTACCCAAATCAATCTACAGATCCAATGCAATCCCTATTAAAATAGCATACTTCACAGATTAAGACCAATATTCCAAAACTGTATATAGAACCAATAAAGACCCGAGCAGCTACTGCAATCTTGAGAAAGAAGTACAAAGTTGGAGGGATCGCAACTCTGGATAGCAAACTACCAGGTGTACTGGTTAATAATGCAGATTTTTTTTTCACTAGATGGAGTTACACATATGTTGATATATATGCGATTTGATATGTATGTTATTTTGTTGTATTGACAGCAAGCTTTAAAACTTCATATGTCAAACTTGCTGAAGGTGTTAACATAGATATTTTTCATGCCAAAACATTGATTAATAAAATGTTACAACTTCAGACAAGGAAAAGCTAAAGGAGTTCATCACCACCAAACCAGGATTATATGAAATGCTGAAAGGTATCCTTTAAGAAGAGGAAGAGGAAGAAAAAGGTAAAGATACAAATTATGAACAACAAATATGCATCTATCAACAAGTGAATCTAAGAATCAAGTGAATAAATAATCTGATGAACAGAATGAACTGGTGATTATAATAGAATAAAGGACATAGAAAGGGAATGGACTGACTATTCTTGTGGGGGAAAAGGGGGTGGGAGATGGCTAGAGCAGGATGGCAAACTATAGTCCACTATCTGCTTGCTGCCTGTTTTTGTAACTAAAGTTTTACTGGAACATAGCCATGCTCACTTATTTACATATTGTTAAGTGCTGCTTTCACACTAAAATAGCACGGTTGACTAGTTCCAACAGAGACCTCTGGCCCTCAAAGCCTAAAAGTATTTACTATTTAGCTTTTTTTTTAAAAAAAACTATTTGGTCTCATAAGAAAAAGTTTGCCCACCCCCAGTAAAGAATTAAAACTAAGTGTGTTGACTGTTTATTATACCACTTATCCTAATGTTTGTTTTAGGAATAGGAAATTTGATCTAAGAAACATGATGTTGTCAAGAGAATACAGAATTATAAGAGGCAAAAACAAAGCAAAGCAAGAAAAAGGGAATATTTTCCTGGTTGTGCTATTTACTGTGTGACACTTGGAAAGTCACTTCACCACTCTGGATCTCAGTTTCCACACTTGAGAAATTAAAGAATTTGGGCTATACAAATACTAATCATCTTCCAATTAAACTATTATAGTCTGTACCAGTAATTTTCAACCCTCTTCCTTTTCATCTCATGGTACACATAAACTAATTACTAAAATTCTGTAGCACACCAAAAAATATTTATTTTTGCTGATCTGATAAAAAAAATAGCTAAAATTCTGATTCACTCACATTGGACGGCTATTGTTGTGTTAACTGTTGTTATTTATTTATTTTTTTGACAATCTAAGGGCAAAGAGGTCAGTGCCCCTGACTACATAGGTATTTGCATGTTTTAAAAATTCTTGTGGCACACTGGTTGAATATCGGTAGTCTTTACAACTTAGTTTACAGATAAGGAAGCAACAGTGAAGGCATAAAGATTCTTAAATTGTTGTATTTTATTTTGTATTTCTCCATGTGGATGAAAAAGCAGTAAGGCACCTTAAATCTCTTTATCATCATAACGATCTTAAAAGTAAGTAATATTATCCTGATTTTATATCCCTCTGGAAACTGAGGCTCCAGAACAGACAGCGTCTCTTGCAAAAGGTTATCAGCATGTGCTAAATGTTTTATTGTCTAGTATACAAAGTCAAGCACTATAATGATAAGGTATACAGAGTAAGGCAGATAATGTAAATGCTGGATAGTTCTGTGGTAAACCAGAGATCACATGTCCTATTTAAAGGGAGCAGTTTCCCGACCGGCATGGCTCAGTGGTTGAGCTTTGACCTATGAACCAAGAGCTCATGTTTCGGTTCGATTCCCAGTCAGGGCAGGTTTTGGGCTGAATTCCCATTGTGGGGTGTGCAGGAGGCAACCAATCAAATGATGTTTCTGTTTCTCTCTCCCTCTCCCTTCCACTCTGAAATCAATAAAAATATATTTTTTAAAAAATGAAAAAAAAAATGGAGCAGCTGCCACTCATCTAGGGTCAATTGTTGAAATACAGTCATGTGGTTCCAATGCCGTCAGATCTTTAGATTTTACAAGATAGTTTGTCTTTGATGTCTCAAATTTTATTTTAAATATTCCAATTTTTAAATGCTGGCAAGGCAACTGATTCAAATGTTTAAAAAAATAGAGTTGGCTAAATTTGGTCCACAGGATGACAGTTTGCAAATATAAACTTTTTTTTTTGAAATTGTGAATTCTTTATGAACCAAAGTAATGTGGAATAGGGAGAAATCACAGCATCAATATCAATCTCATTTTCCATCAAATAATTATCAGAAGTGCTCATAGTAAAATCACATAATTAAAGAAATTGCTTCTCTTTATTTCAGGTTCTGTGGTAAAGGTGTAAATAAATATACAGTCAAAGAGTCAACAGTTCACTAGAAAAAAAGATAGTGGATAATATTTAAACAAAAAAAATCTGTTCTTAAGTAATTGAAATTGAATATATTTGTGTGATGAAAAATACAAATATAATAAATGCACATTGAAGCTTTAAAAATAATGGGGATAGATAGGAGCTATTGATTTGTAACTTTTAGAAGATATGACAATTTGGGAAATAAATGTATGCTGTCATTTTTTAACTTATAGAAAGCCATTTGAAAATACTGTACATGCTTTGACAATAAACAAAGCTCTATTTAAAGTAAAGCTCTAGCTCAGCTAGCATGGCTCAGTGGTTGAGCAATGACCTATGAACCAGGAGGTCATGGTTCAATTCCCCGTCAGGGCAAATGCCTGGATTGCGGGCTCGATCCCCAGTGTGGGGCGCGCAGGAGGCAGCTGATCAATGATTCTCTCTCATCATTGATGTTTCTATCTCTCTCTCCCTTTCCCTTCCTCTCTGAAATCAATAAAAATATATTAAAAAAATAAAGCTCTGACCTACTGATAATTACCAAGAGAATCAATAAAATATTTAATGTTTCCATTAAAAAAGTCATAGGGATGGCAGTATTTTATTATTTTTTTAAAAGCAGACTTTAAGGCCCTGGCTGGTGTTGTTCACTAGTTAGAACATTGGCCCACACACAAAAAGGTCTCCAGTTTGATTCCCAGTCAAGGGCAAATACCTAGGTTGCAGGTTGGATCCTCTGCCCAGTCAGGACGTGTGTGGGAGGCAACCAGTCGATGTGTGTCTCTGTCTCACATCAATGTTTCTCTCTCTCTCTCCCTCCCTCTCACCCTCCCTCCCAATTTCCCTAAAAATCAATGGGAAAAACATCCTCAGGTAAGCATTAAAAATAAATAAATAAATAAATAAATAAATAAATAAATAAATAAATAAATAAGACATTAAGGAGGGCAGGAGAAAGATGGAAAGGAATAGACAATTTCTTCTTCAGAATTTGTTGGCCTTTTATGAAACAACTGCACCACTAATTATATTCTCGCAAGATTCTGTGATTTTTGGATGTGGTTCAGCAGGTTACATATTATTTAAAAGTTTAAATAAAATCATCAATGTGGTACAGGAAAAAGAAATTTAGGTAAAATGAATTAATTTTCCTCACTGGCATAAATTAAAAAGTTTAAAGATATCTTCCTACTGTGGCAGGAGGAGGTTGGTAGGGCTGGGGGTGGAGAAAGCATTCAAAGACTATAATAAAATGTTAAAGAAGATGATATTAAGATAGTAGACTTAAATTTGTGATATAACTAGTAATGCCATGTTAGAATGCTGTTTCAACCTGTTTCAAACTAAGCAGGATTCTTGCCCCCCACAAACTTTGTAGTTTGTTCTCACTTCTGCCTTTCTTCAAATCAGAAGAATCTCTCCCATATAGATGTAGGTTGCATACACTTTAAATCACAGCTTTGAGTCTTGTAAAAAGAATAAGTAGCCTAGTTACATTGATATTTACTTAAGTACTCCATTAACATTGAACTTATTTCAAATGATGGAATTCATATTAAGTGCTAAAGTATTGATAAAGGCTGGGCAAATGATTTAATCTCTCTGTCCCTGAGTTTATCTCTGGAATGAGGATGGCATTGTTATGAGAATTAAATAAACCATGCAACATATGTGGCACATAGTGTTTAAAAATATTAGTTCTTAGCATTATTATAAAATAAAATGGTTACTCACTCTTTTGTTGAGACAAATAACAGGCCATAGGCTGCAACCCAGAGTACAACAACAGCAGAGACAACCACACAGCAGCCATTTCACATTGACTGGGAGAGCCTTTTTCAAACACCCATTCACACGGCCAATGCTGGTCTTAAATTCTTCTGGGGCCACCTACAACAAGAGCATAATCTTTAACAGTTTGTGGGCAACTTTCCACTATTTATCTCTAAACCTAAAGAAAATGTTTGTCTTATTACAAGTACTTTAAGGAAATATATTTCCTCCCTTGTGGCATGGCTCAGTGGTTGAATGTCAACCTTTGAACCAGGAGGTCATATTCATTCCCGGTCAAGGCATATGCTTGGGTTGCGGGCTCAATCCCCGGTGTGGGGTGTACAGGAGCCAGCCGATCAATGATTCTCTCTTATCATTGATGTTTCTCTCTCCCTCTCCTTACTTTCCCCAATAAATACATATTACATATTCCTAGATGACATTAGAAAGAAAAAATATGTAATTTCATGTTTACAGAATTCATCCTGATGTTTAAAAACAACCTTCTCATATTACCAACAAAAAAATGACAACAATAAAATTGGTGGTAAAGAATAACCATCAAGCAGTCATCTTACCAAATATTCTCAATATTAAGGCAATATTATTTATAGTTTCCAGTCACTCTGACCAGAAGTTGAATAAGATTAGAAGTATAATATGAACCTATATACTACCAGAGGAAATGAAATTAAAATTAGACTTTGGCAATATTCCTGGATTACTTTTATTTTTATTTATTAAAATATTTGTATTGATTTTTAGAGAAAGAGGAAGGGAGGGAGAGATAGAAACCTCGATCAACTGCCTGTTGCATGCCCCCTTACTGGAGATTGAGCCAGCAACCTCTTGGTGCAGGGGTCAACACCAAACCACTGAGCCACACTGGCCAGGCTTGGATTACTTTTAAAAAAGACAACTGTCCCCCAGCTGACGTGGCTCAGTGGTTGAGTGTCAACCTATGAACCAGGAGGTCATGGTTTGATTCCCGGTCGGAGCACATGCCCAGCTTGCAGGCTCGATCCCCAGTGTGGGGTGCGCAGGAGGCAGCCAATCTATGATTCTCTCTCATCATTAATGTTTCTATCCCTTTCTCCCTCTTCCTTCCTCTCTGAAATCAACAAAAATGTATTTTAAAAAAAGACAACTGTCAAACCTTTCCTCCCTGGCAAATTTGCAACAGAATTTTAACACTTGCCATTATTTCCATTATTTGTAAGTAAAAGCTACATTTACAAAAGACTATGAGGTGAATACACTCAAGAACTGGTCTTAGTATTCAGCATAAAATGGACTCATGATTGCTGTAAATTTTGAAAGTTGGAAAGTCATTATACAAATTTAATATTTGTAATCACTACCTCCATTCTTGGAAGTGGCTGCTTGTGTTTCTCTGTAAACCATAACAAAATCAGTTCAAAGGCATGAGAGGCATAATTAGATTTATATTGAAAATTTTGCTTGGGGTTATACAATTCAAAGTATACTAAATATGGTTTGATTTCAGTGAAATCATATTTCTGAATCACAAAATTATTCCCTTTGATTTAGAAAGCTGGCAGGCTAATATCTATGGGGGAAAAATCTAGCACCTGGCTATGCAAGTAACACTTATGAAAATGTGAGGAAAAAGAAGCTGCTGTAAAATAAAACCCCAATTAGCATGTCTGTTATCAAAATATGAACCTTTACAATTCTTCTAAGTAAAAATTAAACTAGAGGAATCAATGAATTACATTTTTGTCTTTTAATCAACACTAAAAATATATACCTATTAGCAGATGTTAGAAAGATACATGATCACAGAACTCAGCACCTCATGATTAAAACATTAAGTAATTATATTAGTTTTATTAGAACCATTCATGTCATTTTTCTTCCAAATATATTAACTAACAACAGTTGTGAAATTGTGAGGCTCAAAACTGTATTAACATGGGGAAAGTAAACTAATTTTGTTCTCCATTTAGATGGTTGGCAATGAGTAAAAAGAATTACAATTAAGTGACTAAATTTTCAAGGTAAGTATGAAAATAAACTGAGATAACCATAAATTATAACTGAAAATATAAACACTAGCAGGCTAAACACATTAGACAATAAATCAAGATCTGAATTCTAGTAACTTATTGGCTATAACAAATCCTAGGCAAATCCATTTAATTTTTCTGAGTTTTAGTTTCCCTGATATATAAAATGAGAATAATAGTCCTGTTTTATAACCTCACAGGAAATGGAAATTATACATTAGAAAGAACCTTCTGATTGTAATGCTTTGAAAAAGGAAGACAGTGAATCATATCTATGGCTAGATTTGGAGATTTTGCATGAAGTTTCACCCAAACAGCTTTGCAACACATTTAATTATAAACAAAAGGATAATCTGCTACATTTTGAAGTCAGATTCAATGTTCGTCAGTACTTAAATTCTTCAGAGCAAAAAAGATATCCTTTTTATTTTGTTTTAAAGCAATTTTTATAAGAATTTACATTTATTTGAACCAAACTTATGGCATGCCAGGAAGCAAGATGTTCCTAAAAGATGTTCTTTTTAAAAACAAGGTACCAAGTTGCTATCCTAAGATTTACCTCTCAAATAGTGATATTTATTTTATTAATTAAATCTTTATTGTTCAGATTATTACATTTGTTCCTCTTTTTTTCCCCCATAACTCCCCTTCAAACAGTGATATTCAACTTCTTTTTTTCCCTAGTGAATGCCTGAGAAACCAAATAGAAGTTAAATAACAAAAAATATATTGATATATTTATCTCTAATCTGTAACATAATATTACTATCTGTTCTCTAAAACTGTGCATCCAGAAATATGAACACATTGTTTTATAGTGATGAATTTTGATATAAAATGTAAATCGTACAATTATTAAATCATTATGTTATTGGCAATGTTGGCTCTTGGTTTTTGAGTTTGGCAAAGAAAGAATTCAGAGCCAAAAATTCTAGCACAAGAGAGTTTATCTATACTAATAAAAAAGTGATATGCTAATTAGACTGGATGACTAGACATCTTCTGGACGTCTGACTTCCTCCCTCACAAAGCCACGGTGGTGGGGACTGAGGCAGAGGTGGTTAGGCACGGTGGTGGGGGCCGAGGCAGAGGTGGTTAGGGGTGATCAGGCCAACAGGGGAGCAAGCAGTTAGGGGTACTGGGAGCAAGCAGTTAGGGGCGAGATTAGGAATGATCAGGCTGGCTCGGGGGAGCAAGCAGTAGGGGCCTGTGTGTGGGAGCAAGCAGTTAGGGGTGAGATCAGGCAAGACCAGGCTGGCAGGGGACCAGTTAGGGGGCGATCAGGCAGGCAGGCAGGTGAGTGGATAGGAGCCAGTGATCCTGGATTGTGAGAGGGATGTCCGACTGCTGGTTTAGGCCTGATCCCATGCAGTCAGACATCCCCTGAGGGGTCCCGGATTGGAGAGGGTGCAGGCCAGGCTGAGGGACCCCCCATGCATAAATTTAGTGCACCAGGCCTCTAGTTTAGTATACAAAGTGAAAGTACAATCGGGAGAAGATTCAAGTGGGGCTGCTCAGAGAATTGTCTTGTTCTTTTAGAAAAAAAGTCACAGAGGTAGAAGAAGTGAGTCAGCTGGGATACATGGACTCAGAAAACAAGTTACAGAGGCAAAAGAGGGCCCTTGGAGACAGGTTCAGGTGATTAGCCAGGGATAAGCTGCCACTGCCTGCTGCTCCCCTGGTTTTAAGTCTCATGGGGACACTTACAGTTCAGGAGAAATAAAGGAAAGATACACCCCTGAAGAAAGTGAAGGAGTGTTTTAGAGAGAGAACATGCACTGGGTCCTGTCTTAAGGGTTTTTATCTGTTTTCTAAAGGTGGGAATTTTAGGGGAGGTCTCAGGGGAGGATCTCAATAGAATATCCACCAGCTTTCCAGGTATGTTCTTTCAGGGCTATGGTACCTACTGATTGGTTGGCACCATGGCAGGGAGTCATTAGTTATTGCATCTAGTCCTGATGTCAGCCATGTCATTGCTTCATCTGTTTTTGCTGTTTTGCTGGGCCTGGAGTTGAAACACAACTGATACCTAGATGTTATCTCTAGTATGACCATAACCCTGTCTCTGTGGTCAACAGACCAGATGCTTTTTTCCTAAGATTATTTGATGCTGATCAGGACCTCATTGTCCTGAGGGCTTAATGCTTAAGGGAGTGGATGTGCAAGGGAGAAGGAGGCAGGTGAGTCAGGGTGCTGGACGAGGCCAGCTTGAATCAGTTGTCTCAGTTTCCCCATTCTGCTTGCCAAATAATTTTTCTAACTTCTTCTTTTTTTTTTTTTTTGCATTTTCAGAGATTCTTTAATCCACGGGCAGGGGAAGGTGTGAGGGCAGGCGAGAAATCATGGCGACAGGGACAGCCGCTGTCCAAGGGGGCAGCTGCCACTGAGACCCGTTTTGGGACAGAGCATGGAACCAACCGGTGGTACTCTTCTCTCCAAATCCCCCTCCATCTTGACATCTGCCCAGTCACCACATTTCGGTCCAACAAACTGTTTTTCTCCTTTGAGACGTGTATGGAGAGAGCAAGAGGGACTGAAGACAAGCGAGGGAGCGAACACTGGGATTTGCTGCAACACGTAATGCTGGAAAACGTGTACCTGTTTACAACCAGCACCCTGGAGATGCGGAGCGCGGCGCACGGCGGAGCTCACCCCTCCGAGCTCACCCCTCGGGCCCGACCCCGCCTCCCCACCGCCTCGGGTGCGTTCGTGACTGGGGGCGACCCGCCCTCCCCAAAGCGCCCGCGGGACCCTGAGGCTCCCCGCGCGCCGGCCCCCAGAACATCAGCGCGGTCTCCCCGGGACCCCCCCGCACGCACCCTCCGCGCTACCAGTCCCCATTTACCTCGGAGGCCCGGGTTGTCGTCTCTGGCCCGGATCTTTCGGATTTTGACCGTGCGCCCGCTCAGAGTCGACAGAACCAGACGCTGGCGCAAGAAGTTGCAGCCCGCGTAGCTGAGGGAGTGCGCCTGAGTCGCCATGTGCGCGCTCGGCGCCCGGGGTGAGGCTACTGCGGACTGGCGCAGGGTCGCACCCCCGGCGGCAGCGACAGCGGCGGTGCGACCGGGGTTCCCTCCCGCGGGCCCG